CCTGCAAGAACAATCTGACTGCTGTGACTTCCCCTCCTACTCCTGCTGCTGAATAATATATACAACGTAATGCCAGGAAATAATTGTCACAAATGGGAGATACTGTGGACTGGAGGATGCTTGGCTTTAGGAGTTCAGGAGTTTAAAGGAAAGACTCTCCATTAAGGACTTGCTTTCATTCACTTCAGTATTTTACAGGGGCCATCAGTTAATGGAAGTTTTTCCAGACTTACGGGTAACTATGGATTTCTGTTTCATACTGCTAAATCTCACATAAAATTACCCTCTACCTCTGTAATGCCCACTGACATCTAGAAACGATTGATTTGGTTTCTGAGACAGCTCTGGACCGAAGTATAGGCACAGTTGAAATCATCTGTCTTTTGCATGGTGTAGTAATTGCAGAAGACCATGTCTCTATATAATGCCTGTATGATGCCTATATCCTATGTATACGATGCCATAGATGCTATTTATTTATATCCAAAAACTCACTTGTCATTGACTACGTTATTTCATAAAATCAGGGGGATGAAGACGTAAGATTCTAAGACCAAAGTGCCACTGGGATTTAAATAAAAACCACAGGTTCTGGCTTCTACAGTTTGTGCACTCCTCACTCGAGGAGTTTTTGCCTGGTTTTGAATGCCAGCCCTCCTCCGGCAGCTGGGCAGTAACACTCTCCATCTCGATCTCACAGGCTTAAGTCCAGCATCACTTCTGAGTCACACTGATGTAGTTGAGACATGAGAAAAGAGAACCTATGTAACAGGATCCAGCTCTCCAAAGTCTCTTTTATCCTACTGTTGAGTCAGAATGAAGAGATCGGAGGTTAAACGTATCTGGAAATATTAATGTAAGAGAACCAAATGATAAGTGAAAAACATTCTGAACTCAAATCCTTCTGTCTGATGAACAATCTGGCATGTCCCAAAGACACACTGTAGTTTTGCAATGACCAGAAGACACCACTTCCACCCCGAGCTCCCAGTGCCTGTTGGCTTTTGGAGCGACTCCTGCCAGCTGCAGATCTCCACAACTGGTTCAAACTTCCAGGTTATAAGCGTAACAGTGTATATTGAACGGGTAAAAACTTCTGCCTGAGGAGTGTGCTGGAGCAAGTGGGTCCTAAACACTGCTTGTATAATACTGTCTCTCTGATGATGCAGCCTGCACAGCTTTATGGTGACCATTCCCATCTAAAAGGCATTCCCTGCTCCTGAGCGAGGGTTTCCCAGAGGGTAGGTGTTTTTTAGTCATGTCTCCTGTCCCAATGGTGTGGAAGGTGGGAGATACTGTGGCAGGCAGCAGACTCGCCTGCTCTTACTCTACCAGTGGCCCTATGAGGCTGATTTGTACAGAGTGGCGTTAACAGGACTGAAGAAGACCTTTCCCACAGAGCATAACAGCTGTTTTGCACTGAAACGTGAAGGGAAGATCAAGGATAGAAAATTATCTCTGTATCTTTACCCATATAGAAATAGTCTTTGTTTCCAAGCAGCATTTGCAATATATCTATATCTGTGCTATAGCTGTTTCTATATAAAATTTACCTTCTGGAGTCAGGCTACTAACATTATTTTGACTCAGTTAGGCCTCCAAGGCAGGATTTCCATTATTATGGAGATGAACTGCCTTTAATGACTGCAATAATATAATTGTACCCCAGGGCAGAATTTCTAATAACACAATTGCACAGTTTTCAACCACCAGTAAGAGATACCTTCAGGGCATGTTATTCATTAGGGGTGCAGTACACGCTACCTCAGCCTCCAGAGAAGAATACGAAACCTAAAACAATAAAGCTCTTTTTTTCCATGGTAGTCTCTGCCCTCTGGGCAAACATTGAACAACACGCTTAGTTTTGCCTCCTGGACAGCAGTAGTCTCCAGAGCAAGAGTCCCGGAAGC